TTAAAACTTAGACCTTAATTCAAGGTAAACTCGACAATTGGACAAGGCCTTGTAAAGTTTCCTTGACACAAAATGACTAACAGCTTCCTTGCATTAACTTTATAAAAGGCGAGTAACATTTCGGGCACTTTGTCGTGATGAGTCGATACAATCCATTAAAAGATTCATTAGCAAAGTTTAAGTTGCCGCGTCAGCGTCAAGACTCTTAACAGTCAAAGTTTAAAGTCAATTATATATAGTTTAGTAGTAAAACAAACCGGCGTCGCAGTAGTTGAAAAATATTTTTTTATAATACGAAATAACAGGATGAACAAGTCGTGCGTTTGGTGGTAAGCGACGCGCCTGTCCATAGCAGTTGCAGAATCACTTTGAAACTTTATTTCGATTTGAGAGACTGTTACTGCGCCCAAAACCTGTAAATTCACCTAAACACGGAAATGCTCATATTACAAGAAAAACCATGAAGCACGATTTTTTTATTTTTTAACAATATTATAACTTTGTATTTTTCTAAAACATAAACATTTGCGAAACATTGTATTAATATTTAGGGTTTATTTAATTGATTTTTGAAAATTTAAAAGAAAGCCGTTGTATTCAATAAGTACTTTACATACATATATCAAAGATTTCGTCTTTATATGAACCGAACTTTCTTTATAATGAATTGAATTATATTTGTTTAACTAAATTATGTAATTATTATCCATCAATTACACATATCTAAACTACTTATACGTGAGGCGCACTGTAAGTTTCCGGAATGAATAAGAAAAAATACTATAAATTGTCAGAAATGAATTTATTGATTCTTAAAATATTCTCCGTGATGCACTTTTCCATACGAATGAACCAATTTTGAAAACATTTATGCCATTCCTCCGTGACAATCTCTGAAACATATTTTTCATACTCTTCGATAGCCTTTTCAGGTGATGAAAATCGTGAACCGCGTAACCGGATCTTAATTTTTGGAAATAAAGTCACACCACCCAGCCCAAGCAGCACACATGTTTTAAGCGTTCATATTCCCTCAAGATATCTCGAAGAAGGTTTCTAGATAAGTTAAAGTAAAAGTGGGCACAACTTTATTAGCAGATCACAAGAGAGCTTTGAGAAACTATCTGTAGGTAGTGTTAAGAGTGATATCTTATCTCTTTTCTCAAGTAACCCTTCTACAAGACCATTTGTAGAATGTAGACAGTTTTTATTCAGTCTTGTACACAGTTTTTAGATAATTTATAGTGTGTGCGCTTGTTTAATCAGTTAGAAAGTGCAAATTGACGTGCGACTTTAAATACATTGTGAAAAATGACATAAAACCTGTCATAAAAGTAATGCGCTCGCTAAATTTTAAATATTTATGTATAAAATATAAACTTAATAAAAGTACAGTTATCGTTTTTCGGTTTTAAATATCTTAAACAGCTTAAATATACATAATATCTCAAAAACAAACCATTTCCAAGAAGTTCTACGCTTCTTCAAGCTAATTTCAACTTAGATTTACGAAAGAAATTAAAGAAAACTATATTATTAATATATTATTAAAGATATATCGAGATAATATATTATTAAAGAAATCAATAATTAAAGAAATTTTTCTCGGCTAATTCATAGTCATTCTATAAAAATAAAAATGGCGATAAGAATTTAAAGCTATTTTCAAAACACTGTTTGGGCATTTTGTCTATAGCTTTATCTAAAGAAAAACTTTAGAATACGAAAAGAATATTTTTACTTTAGTGTAGTTGATCTTGTAGAAGAATATTCACTCCTATGAAGTTTTTATGATTGTCTACAAAACGCGATGTTTCTAAGCGATTTTTTCTTTTGACAGTATTACAAAACCTTTATAAAAGTTAAAGGAATAGTGAGCGTATTATGCAATAAAAAACTTTTCAAAACACTAGGTCGAAAAAGCAATTGAAAAAATCAACTAGATTGGGGATTTTGTGGGGATTGGCGCTATGTGAGGAAAATGTGGGGATTCTAACATTTTGTAATTTTGTTTAATCTATCAATTGCTGGTGCATCGCTAGTTTGATCGTTACTGTTAGAAACACTGTGATGAACTATATCGACGTGTTTTTTAACATCGCACATCCCTCGTATTATTAACAAGCAGCTTAAATAGAATTATTATTAGAGCACTTGGTTCTGATTTGTAAAATTACCAGTCGGTGCGTGTTGAGTTCGTAATTCTTTCTCCCGTTTAGGCCGGCCCCCGGTATGAAGCAAAATGAAATCAGCTATTGATAAACAAAGCCGAGCAGTTGGTACTTCTTCACCACGACTTACCACTCGTCAACTTTGAATATTAAATATAAGTAGGTCGAAACTCATTGATTATTTCTAAAATTAACATAGTGTCACCAAATGCACAACTCAATTTACTTGATTTTGTAAGGCAAAGAAAAATTATTTTCGTTACAAAGACTGTTTACAGATTAATGTTGAATCTAATTAAAATAAATAAACGATTTAAGGTCATCTAATTTTATAATTAGTTTTACTTTTTACATTCTGTTTACATTCACAGCAAACGTAATAGATTATTACATTTTGAGTTTCTTAATTCTTTATTATATTTTTAAGCGATGTATTTCTAATAAATAATGAAAACTCGAGATGTGTGAAAATCTACTGAAGACGAGCTACAACGTGTTTGTCATAAGTACAAACACTACAGAATGTCTATAAATTAAATATATCTAGAATAAACTTAAGAACACTAGTTTTTAGAGTATTAATAGACTTTACTGGATGTGTATAGAACAATTTTACTAAAAATAATCAGTTGTTCTACAGATGAACTTAAAATAAGGACTATAAGAGTAAATCTCAAGAGAGATTACACTTAATTAAGTTGTTTCATATTACGAAGGTTTTTATAATTTTGACTTGAGTGATTTCTTTCTTCTTGACAATTTCTTTTTTCTAAAACCATTTATAGAGAAATATTATCTAAATGTATACCATATTAAGATTGTTTATAGATATAACAGTTTTAAGGCGTGTGCTCCTGAGAGGTCGTGGTTGTACCTACGCGGGATGGCTCATAAGGTCAACGTTGTTCACCTTCAAAAATTCATTTGTCTGTTTGGCCGTGTGAGAACTGGCATTATCGTGGTGCAAGATGATACGCCGTTGACCCGTTTTTTGAGCCCAGTCAAATTGTGTGGGATCCACCGAGAGCACAGCTTTTTCACACCCAAATGTTTGTGTAGTATTGATTGTATTTGACTCATGCCTATGCCTAAAGATGCCCGAATCTCATGGCATGTCACATGCCTGTCTACTTTGATCATGCAGCGCACAGCATCGATGTTTTTGTTGTTTACAGCAGTGGACGGGCGACCATCACGAAATTCGTCACTGAGATTCACACGACCGCGTTTGAATTCTGTAAATCAGTTATAAATAGTCATGCTGCATGGTGCTTCATCGCCAAAAGCAGTTTGAAGCCGAGCGAAGCTCCGCTGAGCTGTTAAATTACACTTAAAGCCGTAGAAAATCATACTACCATGGCGATGTAGACAACCAATTTCTAAAATGACGCCACAATGTAAAAACAAGTGACAGTGAGATGAAACAAACTGTATTCTACAGCCCAAGAGTTCCATTTTCAAATGTTGTAATTGCTTTTTAAATATTTTTTACGTAAGGGGCCAGTTCCGGAAACTTACAGTTAAGGTTATAAAGCCTTAGCCAGGGGCATCGTGTCCAGAAAGCTAGCAAAATTTCCCCTTTGAGCAATTCAAACTTATTCTTTGGCGGAAATAGCTGCTGGGCTTGTGGGCACCGGAGGCTTCCACGACAGTGGCTATGAGACGAACCCGTTCTCTAAGGTCACTGGCAGAGTGTATAAGTTTTTCTTGAACGATCTTGCTGAGCGGCAGGTTTACTGCTTGTTTTAAATTAATTCAGAACGCTCTCAATAAAATAAAATAAAAGTAACTTCTTTCAGACAATGTAGTCCATACAAGTTAGTAAGTTAGTAACATGACACCTTATAACTATGTTAGTATTAGGATTAGCAGTCAATCATAAAAAATAATACCTAATAATATTAATAATTAGTTACAAATATAACAAACAGGACGAACCCACCCACCCAGATCAATGTTCTCATGTTATATGTCTCTAGAAACTATAATTTACGAAGCGACATGTTGCAAAAAGTTACGTTATTTTAGTATCCGTTGCTTTAAATATTATTCGACTTGTATTCTCATCAAAACCAGATTGTTTTTAAATATTATGTTTAAACACCATGACTTTTTTTGGTCGATTTCATAATGTAATAAATAACTAATTTAATAAATATATGTAGATGTGGAGAGGGTAATCAAATATTGTTTAAGCATATTGCTACTGCGCCCGCCACCCAGATGCATAAGTTGATAAGTCCGATGTGCCTGTAATTTCAAAACCGGAACGCAATAATGCCCACTTTAATTCCCTGGACGAACTCTTTCACAAAAAACTCTACTACTACTATAAACTACAATAAATTATAATTAGTTATATTTATATTTATTCAAAACTCGTTAAATTATATTAACCGTTGTTCAAAACGAATTTTTATTGTTAATAAACAGCTACCGTGAAATCTCTACATGATTAGCGATTATTAAAAAATAAAAAAATAAAATGCATTTATATGCCACCGGTTTTATTTTTGACGATAGGAACAACTATAGTTTTCGTCATATACACAGGCGAATAAGGATAACTAATACAGAGATTTAATAGTAATTACAACAGACGAGGCAAGTGTGGTCCGGCAAACTGCAAATACTCGACATTTAAATGGTCGTGACCGGGAGATTTTCCCCTTTTCATTTCCCTCAATATTTTACAAATGTCATTCGCACTAAAACGTATATGAAAGTCACTCGCCGACTCGTAGTCAATCACGGTCATGTCACTATTATTGTTGACTAATCAATTTAATATATATTTTTTTTGTATTGAATCTACAGACGTCATGCTCAATGTTCGCCGGATGCTTCGGCCTGATCTTCAACGACTTCCTCATCGAGGTCGATATGAACTCTACGAGTGTCACCTTGTTAATGGGCGTGAGTTGCATGAGTGTCGCGGTTTCAGGTGTAGTATCCATTAATTCTTTTCCATTTTTAAAATATGCTACTTAAAATGCTTGCTGTATACTAGTTTATATCTATTAATCCATAAAAGGTAGTGTTTTGTTTTCAAAATTGATTAGTATCTAAGGTGCATAAAAAATGCGACCCTATTTCTGTTCGTGATCGACTCACGATAGTAAATAGCAGTTTAAAAAAATAATAATTTGCATTTTAACTTCTTCAAAGAAGCTTAAGGTATATTGAACACATTTTCCTTGTCAAGGAAAGAATGTTAAAATTAATTCAGAACCTTCTGAATGTTCCTTTATTATACGTCTCTTAAAGTATAGTTTACGAAACGATATGTTGCAAAACGTTACGTTATTTTAGTATTCATAACTTCTATTTTGCTTTAAATATTATTCGATTTGTATTCGAAGAGCATTAGATTTACATACACTTGATGAGTGGTTTCAGTCAGATTTTTTAATTAATTTTTTTTAACGTCATCGTTTTTTGGTAAATTTCATAATTTCATAAATAAATAAATCATTTAATAAATTTATACAGATAATTTTTATTTAATCTTACTAGGGTTAATTAAATTTTTTATTGAATTGATATTCAATTATTTTTTGTGAAATTACTCCACTAGTTTGTTTGTTTTGCATTAATCAACATAAACAACTATAATAAACAATTAAAAATAATAAAAAATAACATAAACAATTATCAAAGATTTCGAGAAAAATTCGTGAGGTCCGTTGGTTCGTTCCGTGGCTTAGTTGGTATAGCGTCTGGCACGGTATGCAAGAAGACGTCGGTTCGAATCCGACCGGATCAAAGGAATTTTTTCTGAGTGTCTTTTCTGAGTGTTCGATCTTTGTATTAATAATTATAACAAACTAGTGGAGTAATTTCACAAAAAATAATTGAATATCAATTCAATAAAAATTTAATTAATACAATGAATAGCGACATCTCTCGCCAGGACTGGTAGCTGTAAAGGTACTAACTGGGTGATAAATCTGTCAAAGATTTCTCATTGATGGCGCTACGACTAAAAAGTCGTTGAAAAACCAAGTAGAAAGACACGACGCAAGCACATAGAAAAATTCGTGAGGTCCGTTGGTTCGTTCCGTGGCTTAGTTGGTATAGCGTCTGGCACGGTATGCAAGAAGACGTCGGTTCGAATCCGACCGGATCGAAGGATTTTTTTCTGAGTGTTCGATCTTTGTATTAATAATTATAACTTACTAGGGTTATCAAATATTTTTTTTAAATAGCTTGATCCCTAGACACTTTTGATGTGTGTATTATATAGGTCGCAATAACGACGTTTTTTTAATTGTTCTATCATAAAGTAATATTTATTTAGAGTAACTATAAACTACACCTGCGTAATAATGTATAAACAACACACTAAAAATTCAATTGTTTCAGGTTATTTCACAAGTAATTTATGTAAAATAATGAGCATGCGCAAGTGCGCTTTATTAAGTGCAGTTATTTTAAACATTGGATCGTTAGGCACAGTATTTGCGAACACAAAAATATTGTTCTTTATTTTTCAAGGTGTTTTCTTGGTACGTATCTATCCCTCTATTCGGTACTCTCAACTTTTAAATTTATATTTGTATACATGTAAATTATTTAATATTGAACATATTGAAGATTATTTTGTTTAATTAGGTTATTCATAGCACAAATTTCTCTAACTTGAGATCAATAGTACCTACTAATTTTATAAAAAAACCGACCTCAAAATTTTGCCTATTGCTTTTGCTGTGTTCGTTACTGCGATCTCCTTGACAAAATAATCGCCGAATTCGGTTCGCAAATGTCGGAGTAGTCGCGTATCATACACTAAAAATAAATCAGTCGAATTGAGAACCTCGTCTTTATTTTGAAGTCGGTTAAAAGGGCGAGTTCAGTCTTCTTTGAACTTTTTATAAACGACCTCCGAGTCCTCCAAGTCCGAGAACAAGTTTGGTATCGATTTTCTAATTAATAAACTAATAATGCACACGTTAACGTCAATAATGCACTAATAATGCACACGTTAGAGAAAGCTTGACGGGATCTGCATCACACTTGAATTAATAATGGAGTTTTTGTCATAGTTTTGATGAATGAGTAAATCTTTTAAAACAATGTGTTGTTTGAAGCGTCATGTATAGAAACACATTTATAAAAACATTTATTGCGCCTTGTGTTTCTTGAAAACGCGTTGTGGAAAGTGTGCCGCCCGAGCATGCTCGTGCTCGCCCGTGGCGGCCTGTTCGGATCCGCTGCTGGTCGGTAAGTATAAAGGCGCGATACAAATCCGAATACACGCCGCTATGCGCGTCGGCCCGAGGCCGCCCATACTCGCCCGTTTCGCGAGCTCGCCGTTTAACATCACTATAACAAACATACTCTGTGATGACCACGACCGCGTCAAGACTGCAACGAAAAAGAAGAAGAAGAAATACATTTATGATTGCTGTGTGTTTGTTGTCTTTTTCAGGGCGCTGGATTTGGCGTGCTATACACCATAACCTGCACGCTACTTAACGACTACTTTATTAAAAGACGGTTACTCTTTATAAGTATAGCGCAGACTGTGACAGGTATGGAAAAAACGCCATTCGACTTTAAGTATTTCAAATATTAATTACTCAATAACGGACAATGAAACAAAGCTGTTGAAGAATGGAAAGGAATTATGCAGTAAAATCGAAGAAGTGTGTGAATTAATAACAATTTAGATAGTAGAGAGCTTAAATTTAGATAGTAGAAGCCGTTGTAGCCTAATGCGCTTACCTACCGCGCCTCAAGCAGAGGCCGCAGAGGTTTCGAGTCCGGGCCCGCTCCTCCGAGTTTTTCGGAATTTCTGTGCGAAATTTAATTTGAAGTTTACCATGAGTTTTACGGTAGAGGAAAACATCGTGATCAAACCTGCACGTCGAAAAAGGATTATCCAATCCTCTGAAAATATATGAAGTTTCCAACCCGCATTTCGCCAGCGTGGTGGCCTAAATCGTCGCCTGAGAGAAGACCCGTGTCCAGCCAGTGGGACGCATAAATCGGCTAATGAAGTGAAGGAGAAAAAGAATTAGTAGTATGTGCATTTGAGGCTTTAATGGCCCGAACGTTTGTCAATGCTGTATTGCGTGTGTGTCTACAACGTTCATTATAATTGCGAGATAGTTAAAAAAAAGGAAAATACACTTATAAACTTTAAGTGTCTCAGAAAAAGCTTATATAAAAAAAATATTTTCTACATGAAAACTTTACGTATGAATATGTTTTTTTGTCAATTTATGTGTGCCATGTATCTTGTATCATCATGAGTATTCTACTTTATAAAAATGATAAATGGAATAAAGCCGACTGTATTCACATTACTATTAATAAATAACATCAAAATGTCCACTGTATTTTGTGGTCGCGACAGGAGTAA